CTGTACGAGCGTGAGGCAGCTCTGGCTGTCGTGCAACACAGAACATACCCCCGGGGGGATATTTTGTGTCGTGCAATCGGCTGGATCTGTGCATCGGACAGGTGTCACTGTCAATAGTCGACCGACGCCATTTGTTCGCGAGCTTCCACACTGAAATGGGGTAAGTAGTGTCGGTGCCCCTTTGGAGTTGTTTTTGTTGCTATCGCTAACCGAGTCGCCCCCCGGGGCTCCGCAGCGCTGAACGTCAGTCAGCCAACCGATTGTACCTGCGTTTCCCAGTGAAAATCGCCGACGAGCACCAGATCCTGAGCCTCCATCCGAAGATCGCCCTCGTGCGCCTACCGCGGCAGGTAAGTCGAGGGCTGCGCCCCCCTGAGCAGCGCCTGATGTATGGGTGGTTGCAGAAATCGCGGCGTTGGTGCATCATCGAGTGCGCCAGCCAGACCGACTTGGAGGAGGTGCGAGGCTGCTTGAAGCGCCTCAAAGTCGACGGCAAGTCGCTGAAGGTGAAATCCTGCCGGCCGGCGAGGCCCAAGGAAGCCCCGCCTGCCACGGTGACCGCAGCCCTAGAGGCGCTGTGCGCGTGAAGATGCGCCAGTTTATCGGCAACCCCTACGAGCTGGAGCTGGAAAGCGACGAGGACATGGAGGAGCTAGATGAGGAGGCTGTGGTGAGTCCCCCCAGAAAAATCCCCCTGGATCGTGTGCTGTCAATTGGGGCTTGCAGGGCGCCACGATAATCCTGAACACCGACTACACCGAGTTGAACACGCAGGAGCTGCAGCTGCTGCAGGACGCCCGGCCGGACAGCGTCGCTTCCGACCCGGACTTCGACCCCACGGACTCAGAGGTGGACTCTATGAGTTACTACAGCGACCAGGCCAGTTGGGTGGAGGCGCTGGCCTTCAGCTCCGATGAGGGCGACCTGGACGACGACAGCGACGGCGACTGGGAGGACGACGAAAGCAGCCCGCCAGACGGTCCAGGGCACCAACAGCCCCACTAAGGAGCGGCTGTTGTAGATGAGGCGCAGCCCCCCAGCCCCGACCAGCAGCCCCCAACGTCGCGGGCGTAGCCTACATCTATCCAGTACTAAGTCGTTAATTTAATTTTAGAATAGTGTTTTTGGTTCAGTTCGTTGAAGAAAACTTATTTTCATAGAAAAAATTTGCCGAATTTGTATCCGTCCAGTCGGTGACGTCAGAAAGCGCAGTCCTCCAGTGGCTTTCACATGTTGACAGTCACTCGGCAACGAGTAATTTGACGTTTCGCGGCTAGAGCTGTCAAAATGCTCGCATGCCAAAATATC